CGTATACACGTTGAAGAGCACAGGCGAGATGGCGGATCCCTGTGGCAGTCCTGGGGCCAAAGTGCATGGTTCAGAGGTCCATGAGCCCAGTCGGAGAGCAATCCGACGTGAATACAGGACAGCTGCAACCCAGTTCACCAGCCATGGATTGACCTCCTTCTCCCTCAGTGCAGTCATTAAGATCGTATCTCACTCTGTTATAAGCATCCTCGAGATCTATTACTATCGCCATAGTTTCCTATCTGTTCTGGAACCCTTCATAGACGTCAAAAGCAAAAGTGGCCGCATTTGCCCAAGTGTCTTTTCCTGGCCTTTAACTTCCCAGACCTCTTGTGAGAAGCTTCCCCCTTTCCAAAAATTCGTGTAACTTTACAGCAACTATCTTCTCCAAGATCTTCCCAAATGTGTTTTGTAAGGTGATGATTCTAAAGCCACTAAGCTTTGTATGATCTTTAAAAGGTTTTGGTAGTGGGATTAGATAGCTGTGCACCCAGTCTTGCGGTACTGATGCTGTCTTAATACTCTGGTTAAAACAGTCGGCTATCTCTGCCAGGTCTACATCGCTCAAAGCCTTCATGTGACCATACCTGACACCATCAGGCCCTGGTGCAGTGTCCTTTGCTTTTTTCAAAATTTGTTTGATATCTTCCACTTGTATCATGGCTTCATACTGCACATTCTTCAAAGTGTCAGCTAACTCTATTCTAACTGCATCCCTGATATCTACATCAATTTGATCTGTCTGAGCTATAAACCTATGGAGAAAGGCCTCCCCTTTCTTCTTGTCTGTTGTCACACGCACACCATCGTCTCTACAAATTGTTCCGACTGTCTAGGCCGATCTTTTCTTTGCATCTGCCTTTGCAAATTCCAGAATTTCCCTAATGTTTTATCGCCTCCCATATCATTCACAAGTTTCCCACTTTGCTCTTTTGGCCTCTGCAGCACAGCGCTTGAAAACCTCCACCTTATCTTTTTTCACATTCTCCGCAATCCCCACTTCCTCCCGTGAGCTTGAGGATGTCTGTCGTACTTTCTTTAGCTGCTTCACTGCGGCTCTCTTTGCCTTCCATGCCTGTTCTACTTCTGGAGTCCACCATTGGGGCTGTAGAAAATTAGTTCTGGCAGCTCTTTTGCATGCTCCCTGTCTGAGGCGTCCAAGAAAGCGTCTTATACAATGGTAAATATTCCCTACAGTGCCTCATTTTAAAAACCCTATCAGGGGCACTAAACCATGGAAAACATGTAAATATGAAATCAAAAAGTTTTGTCCCCTCTATTTGTGTGCTTGACTTCGCTCCCATTACTGACTGACCGACTTTTTACCCCACCAGGACATCACACAAGCGATAAACACCCGCTGACACAATGTGCCACCATGTGGATGAGGATCACCGTGGAGAGGTCACAGAAACCGCGTTCAGCCATTAGGCCATATTTATTGCCAGGTTATATCGCGGCCCCTGACAAGAGCCATAGTAGGGCTAAAAATAACGAAAAATTTCGTCCTAAAAAGGATGGCAATTATACACTAAGACCCCATTATTTCGCAATGGTTACATTAGCAATACCTGTGTCCGCAAAGATTTCACCACTTTATCTCAGTATTAGCAAACCTTTAAGAGTTTCTATGAGAGATTAACAGAACTACTGGATGAAATCTTCTGGGGACAATCTGACACTAGCAGGTAGTATGAAGTAACCAACGATATGAGACTTTTGCACCTGGGTGAAAAGATCCTGTGATAATATGAAAATTCAGATCGTTGTCAATGCATTCAAGAAGTGTGACGTTTCAAATGCTGCAGACGGAATTGAGGATGAGGCAATGTCTGAAGACAATGAATCTTCATCAAATACAGACGAGGACAAGTTACAGGAGTATCACAAGGATGAGTTTTGACAGTTAGGATGAGCTGCCTGTATTTTGTGTTGAATAAAGCGCGAGTTAGTGACTTTATGTGATCATTTTTTTCTCTTCAAATTTTCGATGGAAAAATCAAGGTGCGCCTTATAATTTACGAAAAACATATGTTAACATTGTAGAATGTGTCACTCACCTGTCACCTGCTGTTACTAAAAGTGTCTTTATTAGATTTTCCGCTCTCTCTTTCTGATCGATCTCTTTCACATCAGCGAGGTGTTGGGGAAAGATGTAATGATTGTTTGTGCGCTTTTCCAATGCATTGTACAAGTTGGTGTTCATTTCTGTTAGGTTGCTCATGATGCTGTCACTCCATCTCTTGCGTGGTCTTTCCCTTGCTCTGTGTTCATTATATTTCTTCTGCGTGTCTCTCTGTGGCAGTTGGTACCAAATCATTCTCGTCAGGTGGCCAAACTATCTTATTTGCTGTTTGTTAATGAATTGTATGCGTGGTTTCAGTCCTAGTCTTCTTCTAATTTCTTCATTCTTTATTTCATCTCTTCTTGTCACACTGGCAGCTCTCCTAAGACATCTTATCTCTGTTGTTACGACCTTCCGCTCATCAGTTGTAGTAAGGGTCAATGTTTGGCACTGGTAGCACAATGTCGGCCTAAAAAAAAAAAAAAAAAATTTATGAAAGTTTCTTTGGTTGACAAAGATATCGTTCTATGCGTCAGAAGAGGTGTTAATTGTCCCATAACCTGATTTGCACATATTACATTGATTTTTGTTAACGAATACTATATATTAATAGCACAAACTGTGACTGGAAAACTCCAGGGACAAGACAACAGAACATCTAAACAACACAGGTCAACACAAAAACAAGAAATACTAAGTTTGAAAAGAAGGCGGGAGGGAATAGTCTTGATTGACTATATTACGAAACGAAAAAAGTAAGAAGACGTATTAAAAAGAGGAAGGGGTGAGGGATATTTACACGTTTAAAAAAAAAATTAAATAATAGTGAGTTGAATGTTGTTTACTGCTGCAGTCAGTTGTTTGCCATTGCTGTTTTAAAAAAATACAGTGCTCATATTCTTTTCAAAACAAAAAACTTGCTGTTACAAAATTGGATACTGAACGAAACGTCGCTCTCTTTAAGACAGAAAAAAATGTCATCATCATCATCATCAATTTCCGCATCTGCCGTTAAAGTTAAGCGTTGTGGGGAGGAACAGTTTGCGATCCATTGCTTGATGGGCATCTATGGCTAGTGTCACCCCATGTCGGTATAGAAGATCTTTAATGTCATCAATCCATATTCTCCTATTGCAGTTACAAATCTACCCAAAGTATTTTATGATCCTCGCCGGTGCTACAGAGTTCCTGCACTGTGTTGAGATTATGTTGACTCAGGCTTGAGTCAGAAGCAAAACGGAGCATTTGTGCGTTACTACCCTTGTGCTATGATGTTGTTCCTTCGTCCAAACCTAATGTAAACCTAATCTCCTAGGGCGGCTTTTTGGTTTCCCTTCAGATCTTTTCATGTGTAGCGTTTGCGTTGGCAGTTGTTCTAGCTGCATTCTTAGTTGTTCTGGCTGCATTCTTAGTTGTTCTAGCTGCATTCTTAGTTGTTCTAGCTGCATTCTTAGTTGTTCTAGCTGCATTCTTAGTTGTTCTAGCTGCATTCTTAGTTGTTCTAGCTGCATTCTTAGTTGTTCTAGCTGCATTCTTAGTTGTTCTAGCTGCATTCTTAGTTGTTCTGGCTGCATTCTTAGTTGTTCTGGCTGCATTCTTAGTTGTTCTGGCTGCATTCTTAGTTGTTCTAGCTGCATTCTTAGTTGTTCTGGCTGCATTCTTAGTTGTTCTAGCTGCATTCTTAGTTGTTCTGGCTGCATTCTTAGTTGTTCTAGCTGCATTCTTAGTTGTTCTAGCTGCATTCTTAGTTGTTCTAGCTGCATTCTTAGTTGTTCTAGCTGCATTCTTAGTTGTTCTGGCTGCATTCTTAGTTGTTCTAGCTGCATTCTTAGTTGTTCTAGCTGCATTCTTAGTTGTTCTGGCTGCATTCTTAGTTGTTCTAGCTGCATTCTTAGTTGTTCTAGCTGCATTCTTAGTTGTTCTAGCTGCATTCTTAGTTGTTCTGGCTGCATTCTTAGTTGTTCTAGCTGCATTCTTAGTTGTTCTGGCTGCATTCTTAGTTGTTCTAGCTGCATTCTTAGTTGTTCTAGCTGCATTCTTAGTTGTTCTAGCTGCATTCTTAGTTGTTCTAGCTGCATTCTTAGTTGTTCTGGCTGCATTCTTAGTTGTTCTGGCTGCATTCTTAGTTGTTCTAGCTGCATTCTTAGTTGTTCTAGCTGCATTCTTAGTTGTTCTGGCTGCATTCTTAGTTGTTCTAGCTGCATTCTTAGTTGTTCTGGCTGCATTCTTAGTTGTTCTAGCTGCATTCTTAGTTGTTCTGGCTGCATTCTTAGTTGTTCTAGCTGCATTCTTAGTTGTTCTGGCTGCATTCTTAGTTGTTCTAGCTGCATTCTTAGTTGTTCTGGCTGCATTCTTAGTTGTTCTAGCTGCATTCTTAGTTGTTCTCGCTGCATTTTTAGTTGTTCTGGCTGCATTCTTAGTTGTTCTAGCTGCATTCTTACTAAATGACCAAACCATTTTATCTTCTGCTTCTCACTGAATTTGCTGCAATGTAACATTGTCTGTTCACGCCAAGTGCTGATAAAGGTTATCTAGCCGCAACTTTCACTATTCGTTTGTGACAGTGATAACGTGCAGCTTAGTTCTACTTTTCGGTTTGATATCGTTTCTTGATACTGCTACGACTACGGCTGCTACTACCACCACCACAACTTTCCCTTCTTGCTTCTATTACCCAGCAGGGTTTGATAACAAGCAGCCTTTATGCTAACACACTCACCAGCCACAGAATACAGGCAGACCAGACGGTTTGTCTGTCTATTTATAGGATCTCGTCACAGCCTGGCGAGAAAGTCAACATAATAAATGCTCAGGCCAAAGATCGTTCAACATCGACAACTTAGTAGCAGACTATCGTCTCTCCATATTGTGTTTCTGTCCTTTCTGTACTCCGATTGTTACAAAGAAGCTAAAGCATTGAGATATTATCTCTAAAATGCTTTCACGGAGACAGATCAATGTACAGAGGGAAAATATTTCTTCAATGTGCAGGTACCGTCTGCGATCTAGATAGATAGATTTCATGTTTGTCTTAGTGTTGCTTCTTATTTGTGTTATTTGCTTTTATTTAACGTTTTTGTTACAGTTTTTGCGATATGCTGTTGCATTATTTCAGTATTTATTATACAATCTGCTTTGCAACTGCAATTTATGATAATTGATAGCTTTGCAACGATAAAGTAGGGAACGTAAATAAACCAGTAAATAGTGAAAATGTAACATTATTGTTATTGTTATACATTATAACTTCAGTCAGTGCTGAATTTAGATATACCGGTATTATGCGCTTAACAAGTTCCAGCTTGAGACCTCGAGATCTGCTGGGTACCTAAAAAAATTACTTTTAATATATTTTAAAAGCATTTTTCTTTTTATGCATTTTAAAATTGGGTGCATTATTAATATCTTACCCCTAACAGGGGAAATCCACAGGTCAATATTTCAGGTAGTGGTAGATAGGCTGCATGTAGTCGTGGGATCCAGGCTTCATGCAGTCGTGGTACCTAGGCTGCATACATTCGTGGGACCTAGGCTGCAATCTCTCGTGGGACGTATGGGGTTAGGCCCATTTCTAGATGTTTTGGGGTCGTTAAAAGCACCAGAAAGCTGGGAAACCCAGTCTCAACACCCTCTAAAATGTTGGACTGTCCTGTGATGTCATCTTGGGCAGGATATAACGAAAGAACCAAAAATTGCCCGTAAAAAAATTGTTTTCGGTTGTAACTTTTAGCGATTATGTATTATAATTTTGGTGATTTTGCAAACCTATTCTTTATTATAATTTTTTAACTAAAATATAACTTCAAAATATTTCATTTATCCATATTTTTAAAAGCAAATATATTGTGAAGTCTTCTAAGATTATAGCTGGTGTAATGTAAAACTGTAGGGGCCTCAGGGCATTACATAGCTTAGGGCCTAATCTAGCATAAATCCAGCCCTGACTACAATAATCACATATATTATTACAGTACTATGTTCTATTCTTTGCAATTATAGTTTGTAAAATATATGTTAGGTATGCAGTCAGGGAATATAACTTAATTTTACTTGAGTGATTCTGTTATTAACATTATGAGAGCTAATAGACTGAAATGGCTGGAGTATATTGAGCAAATGTCAGATGACAGAGAGGTGAAAACTGTATACGCAAGTGAGCTGGACGGTCGTAGACCAGGAGGCAGACCAAGAAGACAATGGAGGGATAATGTCCGGACAGACTTGCAAAAACTTAGTGTCACCAACTGGAAACAGAAGGCCAACCAGAGAGATGAACAGAGGCTGGTGATGTCTGCAACCTTAAGGGCTTGGAATGATGAAGAAGAAGAAGATGCTGTTATTTGTTATTATTATTCTTGCACTATTAGCTTATAGCTAACTATACAGCAGTCGAACATAACACTGCACTGTCTGTTTTGCAATTATCAGTCACTATTCAGAGATAATATTGTTTATTTTTTTAAACGATTTCGGTTGTAAATATAATGTATCCTTAAATAATAACATGAGTTCTTCCAGTTTAAATTGATATTCAAGCTTCCTGGGGGTACCTTTTTTATTGTGATTTTTATGGCCTATTGTTCATCCGAGTGACATATTTTTGCGGTGCCTGTATACAGCATAGCTGTGATATTTGTACCTTTTAGCCCACACTTCCGACTTCGTTGGGCATTTGTTAACTGGGTTAGCCTTCTTGGGTGGGGGAGGGGGGGGGGACATTCAATATATGGTCATGAGTCATTGCGTCCGCCTCAAGTGCTGTAGGTCCGAGCTTCAAGCCCCAGTAAAGGCTGGGATTTTTCATGGGGACTTCTCCTGGTCTGTGGGTAGTAAGATCAGATGCCCTTGTGTATTGTTGCACATGTAAAAAAAATATCCCTTGGCAGTTCCAAATCAAAAAGAGTAGAACAGAGCACTTATGGGTTACTACTCTTGTGCCATGATGTTGATCCATTATTCAAACCATCAAACCATCAATATACAAAACGTGTAATCTCCGAATGCGTTCATGTATTTTGGGAAGAACGGGAATGAACTCTCGGACCCTAACAAACATCTTGTAAAAGGTAACTAATTAAGATTTTGTCAAAATCTCATGTGTTGGGGTGAAATGCACAGATATCACAGCAACACAACATGCCAACCACCCTTTTAAGAGTGAATGTAGAAGAGGAAAAGAAAACATGAGTAAATTTACCTAACATTAACAAATCGTTATATTTGGCAATGTCATATTCATGTAGTGTTGGCATCTTTCAAATTGTAGATTATAGTGTTGTATACTGTGCTGTGGGGGAGACACGCAAATCACAGCCTATGATGATGACTGGTTTTAGCCTTCTCAGTACAATAAGGCTAATAAAAATATGCTAGTCAGCGCCTAAACCTAAACTTAAATAAAACAAAAACATGTTACTTTCAGGTTTAGGTCAGCTGTGACGCATCGATGCATGATTTAAGAAAAATAAAATAAGCAAAACACACAAAATTAGTTTAATACAGACCACGAAGATATGAATGTGCAAAAAAAAAATATTATTGTGTTACTTTTACTATTCTACTATTAACTATTTCCTAGTTTTAAAAAAAAAAAAAACCGATTAAACAACCAACATGAGCAGAGCAACGATGGGGTGACCCGTTTGTTATGAAGCTGAAACTAAGACTACCAGACTACCAGACATAAAAACGTGGATGTGAAGTGTTTAAGACACTGGCATGGTGGAATATCATCAGTGGAACTGATCCAGAATACTAAAGACCGAGATCTGCCTGTGCCAGCTGGAAAGGCTCTCAATGATGATGATGAAGAGCTTAAAATAACATCAGAAGACAGAAATGGTAACAGGTACAATTGGGATATAGTGGGTTACTGTAATGTTTAGATGGACCACGCAGAGTTAATAAAAGTAAATCAATTGAGAATAGACCAACAGACACATGAGCTGTTATCACAGATTTTCAGTCAATGATTGATGCATGCTACACATTTTTTTTTTCTATTCACTGATTACTGATTTAAGAATCAAACATAATAAAACACCGGGCATACCCATAGATGCTCCGTCTCCCGCAGCAAATGTCTTCAGTAGCACATTGTTTGTACACACATTGTTCTCTTCCTCTCAAACATTCATTCTTCCAGGAATTATTCGTCTACTTCTGCACTTTAGTCTTGTTCCAGAATCTGAGTTTCATGTGCACATCTGTTCTAGACATCTTACTTATTTGTATGAAGACTGTTGTTTGTAGGAATCCCCTAATTAGTTGACTCTTTCAACATACTTGTTAAGGAGACAGTGGGTCTTTTCTTCTTGTTTTTCCCATCACAACGAGGCCCCAGGACCCACACAGAAGTTGCTGGAACAACACTTAAACCAACATTTGTGCAACCTGACTTGTTGTTTTGTTGGAAGGTCATGGGTAGTGAGCAAACTTTAGACCTTTTTTCTAGGCCACACCGGCATGGTGGGGAATGAATATGCAGACAGGTAGGCTGGATCTGCACCACAGGGCGGTGAACTGATGATAGGCAGATGTGGTCCAGGTCCTTTAGGAACAAGTAACGAAGTGAGAAGAGAAACCAGATTAATATGGCCTGGAGAGAATGATGCACCTGGATGTGACCAGAGGGTTTGGCTGGCTCAGTACACTTAGAGGACAGGCAAGACGGACATATAACCACACTATGAATGACCGGTACCATTAGTATTGAAACTCTGTGCTGGCCATAGAAGCCAAAGCCAAAGAAGAATAAGAAAACAGCACAAAACTAGTGTCATCAGCACATGTTGCAGGATTTACTGAGGAGGGGATCCAAGCACTTATGGACTGAATTGTTGAATGTGCAGTGAGGAAAATGTGTCGACTGACTAACTAGTGTTTCTACAGCTATTGCTTTACTAGCTAACCTATCTTTTCCTTTCTTACCTGGCACACCTGCATATCCCAGTCAGTTTATCCATGACCCGCTTCACCTGACGGGCCATGCTGCTGACGTCACCGGGCGGTTCTCAAACAAGAAATAAACTATTTTCGACATGTGCGAGGGAAGATAAAAAAATTTTAACTTTGAAGTATCTACATGAATTTCCTTAACAATTTCATAATTTTTAGCCGACTTTTCTTGATTATTGCCGCAGCACCCCTGGCATACGCTTGAGGCACCCAGTTTGAGAACCACTGCATTAGCCCAACCCGGTGACGTCAGCAGTATGTCCAGTCAGCTGGAGCTGGTCATGGTTTATCTACATGAGTGCCTGTAGTGTTGACATGCCACAATTATTCATTCTGAACCTTTTGCAGTACACACATTTTGGACCAACAAAGCAGTTAGTTCAAGGACTGTTTACATTGTGAAAGGATCAGTGATAACTTTGATGACCCTGGAACATAACTGAAGCATTGATGATGATAACTTTTGAACATTTCTGATAAGATAACACCTTTTTCAAATGTACTGTAAGTGAAGTGATACTTGGTAAACAAAACATCTGCTATATATTCTGGTAACAGTGCTTATAGAGCAAACAGCTATATCCATAAACACTCCTAGAAATGAGGTTTGATTAGTAATCTAAAATTAACATTGCAATACACAAGGTTTATTGATGCTCAACACCCCCCCCCCACCACTTTTTTTTTCTCTTCCCCCTCCCCCCTTCTTCCCTCATTAGAATTAAAACACTAGTAGTAGTAGTATTTTAAAGAAGTTAGTTAGTTAGTCAGTCGGTCAGTTAGTTAGTCAGTTAGTTAGTTAGTCAGTCAGTCAGTCAGTCAGTTAGTCAGTCAGTCAGTCAGTCAGTCAGTCAGTCAGTCAGTCAGTCAGTCAGTCAGTCAGTTAGTTAATCAGCAGACTATCCTCATTGCACATCAGACAAGTCCATAAGCGCTCGGATCCCACCTTCAGTAAATCCCCCAACGTGTGGCGACTGATAACACCAGTTCTGTGTTGGTTTACTATTCTTCTTTAGCTACCTGTATAGCATTCATGTTTGACGACGCCTCTTTTGATCTGAACTTATTGTAGTCTTTTGAGTGTACAATACTTTTGTATTGTATAGATTATGCATTATTGTTAACAGACTAACTGCAGTTATTGTTTAGTTAAATCTATTTTAAATTTACTTTTTAAATCTTGGATAACATAATTTCTGTCTAATAATATCTTATCACCTCCTAGGCAAATATTTGTTCCTATAATGTATAATGATTCATAATCATATGCCTTGCCTCCCCGCTTGGGTGCTGAGGCCCTATTATGGGGAAAACAAGAATAGGTCTACTGCCTACTTCAGAAAAGTATATAGTAAAAGTTAACAACTTGTGGGTGTCCTTTGAAGTTGGAACGCAATTACCTAAGAGACAAGAAACAGTCTACGTACACATAAGTCGGATCTGTAAAATTAATGTACGTGCAGAAACTCAAGTTCTCAAACGAGACTAAAGTCCATAGGTGGACAAACAACCAGAACTTGCCATCAAAGTTTAAAGCTGTGGAATGCGAAGAAGAAGAATATCCCTTGTCATCATGGATGATCGTCATGTAACTCCACACTTTGTTATTCGTCTTGTGTATCAGTTTGTGTGTGGTGAGCTCTTTTTTACTTTTTGGCATAGAAGAATGCTTGTTTATTTTCTTGTTGTGTCCCTTTATCTCTTTCTCCATTTTCCATAAATCTTTCCAATTGTCCCACCACATTCCAACTATGTTTTTCTTTTTATAATATGCCCCCCCCCCCCCACCGCCCCCCCCCCCCCCCCCCCCCCCGCCCCCACATGAAATGATGACTCCATCTTTCAGATGTTTGTGTTGAGTTGCCTTTGAATCTAAACCCTTTGGATTACTCATTTGGTTCTATATTAATATCTTACCCCAGTTGACGTCACAGAACAGCCCAACATTTTAAGAGGGTGGTAAGACTGGGTTTCCCGGCTTTCTGATGCTTTTAATGACCCCAAAACTTATAGAACTGGCCCTAACCCCAACCCACCTATGTCCCATGAGAGAGTGCAGCCTAGGTCCCACGAACACATGTAGCCTATCGACCATCCCCTGAAATATTAGACTGTCCTGTGACCTGTGGATTTCTCCTGTTTGGGGTAGGATATTAATAAAGCACCACTCATTTTGTGCCAGATTTTTAAAACATTCTACTGTGTAAAAATCACATATCTGAAGCTATAGGGAATGTTATGGCAGCATTGGATGATATTTGTTCAATTGTTATAATTCAGATCAAAGAGGGACTAAATAATAATTAATTTGAAAAAAAAACTTTCTTTGTGGGAACAGAATGTTCCAGAATCCCAAAATGAGAGTGGTGGTGGGGGGGGGGGGGGGGGGGGGGGGGGGGGGGGTAGTTGCACTGCTACCTGAAAAGTATGTTGATTGTTGAATTAAGAATCGACATCACAGCACTCAGGACACTCCGATAAGTGCTCCGTCCCCATCTTCAGCACCAAGCAGAGTTAAAATTCTGATGGTACCAGTAACTGTCAAATTTTATATCATCTCGCCTTTCCCCTGAGTGTCGAGCGTTGGCCAGATCCCCTTGTAACTCCTCGCAGTGCCATTATCCTCAGACCATAATGATCTGTCTGTTCCTCGGCACTGTTCACTCGCTGCCAAGGGGCCCTAACAAGATCCAGCTTGTCATACATCAGTTCACCACCAAGTGGTGCAGAACCTGCCAGTCTATCTGCCTGCTCATTTCCCAACACACCGGTATAACCTGGAGGAAATATCCAAAGGACGCTAACTGCCTGGGACCTCTGAAGTGATGCTTGCCACTCTGCATGGAGCCTGCCTTTCTCTACCTTTCTCAGCATGCTCTGTGAGTACATGTCTAAGAGGTGACTAATTAAGAGTTTGTTGAAATCTGATGTGTTTCACCAAAAGGAGCAAATATCACAGCCTAGCTGTAAATTAGGAGACTGTACCAAAGGTCCTATTAAGGCTAAATACAGAAGAAGAAAAGAAAGTAGAAGAACAGGATAAGGTGCAACTATATCAATTACCCTACTTTTCAAAACAATGTTTTCCCGTAATGAATTTAAATAATGTGGACACAAGCAATACATTGCACAATTTATTGCCAGGCATATTTCGCTGTATCTTGTCAGGTTACATCAAGATAAAATAAAGCACAAAACTGAATAAATCAAACTGAAATGCGAATAGTTTATTTTGACACATTGTGTGTGTTTTTGCCGCCGGAAGCTCACCGTAGTCACTTGACTTACCAGGGTAACTTCAAATTTACTATAAATTCGGCCTGCTTACAAAGGAGGGGGTTGTTGATTTTAATTGTTAAAGCTTTGGCCATTCTCAACAGTCTCCTGTTCGGAGTGTGATAAACCACACGGAAAGCACTGTCTGTGTCAATTACGTGTCCCGAATTAAGTAGATGACGTCCTATAGAAGAAGTGGGTTCTTTCCTCGTGACTGGTCTCGACACCCTTGAAGAATCACCCTACTTTTAACTCTTTGAGTCCCGGGGGGTTTAGCATCACAGGTCCAGGGGGGTAGTAAAGAAAGTAATAATATGATGCGTTTTTTGGGGCTCAAAGAGTTAACAACCTTTTATGTATTTTGGCAAATACATGTGATGTTAATTTTTTTCTGTTGTGCGTGTGTATAGGATATCAGTGAAGTCCCTCCTTGACTATGCTTGCCTGTACACCCATGTGGATGATGACTGTGAGGAGTTTATCAACTTCTGTGCTGTCTTTGAACAGTTGGTCTCGCACAGACTTCGCCGTAAGTTTGATTCCAAATTTTTTTTTAATGGAAAGTAAGTAAATGTGTGGCTCCACAGAAACTTGTGTGCGGATGTGGACATACCATAGGTAACAGTCTTGGCTAGTGGGCTAAACTATGTGACTGAAGTGGGAGTGAAAGAGGGGATGGGGAGTCACTGTGGCGTAGCGGCTAGACGCTCATATGCGGATCGGAAGGTCGTGGGTTCGCTCCTTGGTGAAGCTAGACTTTTCTAAAAAATGACTTGACTCCCAGGTCGACCCAGCCTTGAGTGGGTACCGGGTGCAGTCCCAGGAGGTAAAGGCAGCCGGCGTGATGCTGACCACATCACCCATCTTGTGCCAATTAGTCTCTACAAATATAGGTCTAGACCTATATGCCCTATACGCCTAAAGGCGGGGAAAAGGGACCTTTACTTTTTTTTTCAAAAGGGGATGTCTATTTCTAGTAAATGAAGATTGGGTGAAGGCAGAACGATCTTACAGATAACACAGCTTGTAAAGCAAAACAAAACAGTGTGTGGCATATTTTTGGCATGTTACTGATAAATAGAGAATACTGCTGGCTATGTAGAAGAGATTGGTACCTCATTATATAGCACTTTATGTAGTACTCACTGTAGTTTCAAATAGTCAGTAGTGTAGGATAATTAGAGCATTGTAATTGAAATTTAGATGTTGTGAACATTTGTTTTTATTATTATTGTTTTACCCGCCTTATTCACTATGAAATGAGGTACCACTGAATCACTGTATGCAAAGTGTGGTCTGGAAGGGCAGAATGTTAGACAGGCCTGCATGTCCAATGTTTAACCCTTTGAAAATAAAGGTTGTTAATTCCTTCTTTCATACTCCAAAACTAGAAATAGTATCACAGCAGCAAAACAAAAACAGCGATACAGTCAAAATATTAGTCCCCTGAAGAAGTCTTCTTCTTCTTCTTCTTCTTCTTCTTCTTCTTCTTCTTCTTCTTCTTCTTCTTCTTCTTCTTCTTCTTCTTCTTCTTCTTCTTCTTCTTCTTCTTCTTCTTCTTTTGTCCCACTGCTTATGCTGTAATGCATCACAGAGAAGAGTTAGATTTGGAGACTTTCTCCTTTTCTTATCTTAAACATGTGCTTTTGAGCAACTAATCCTCTAACGGTTTGCTGGGCCAGTCCTAGAATCATTTCTAACTGCACAATTTATCAGAACAGTGACATCTTTATTCTACACAAGCATATTTTGCTGTATTTCATCAGGTGCATACGACAGTAACAGTTGGTTAAAAAATGAAGAAGACAAAAGAATCTTTCAGACTGAAACCCAAAATCAACTACATACAAAAACTTCTGTTTCATTATTACTGAGATTGGTGACAGCGGTCGCTACAAACTGGTTTGGTCCAGAATTATGCAGACAAAAGGACATGCTCGTCATCTTGCGTTTACTCTGGTGAAACCGTTTTTTCTTTTTTTTTTTATGTAGTCGATTTTGTATTTCAGTTCAAATTAAAAATGTATTTGCTTCATTTTAATCAATTGTTACTGTAGTATGTGCCTGACAAAATACAGCAAAATATGCCAGACTTTTAACTGTGCAATCTACTGTAGGTGTCTTTTTTTGGGTTCAAATTTACAATACAGAAACATTGCTTTGACATTATTATTGTTGTTAATATTTTTATTGTTCTCAGCATACCAAAAGAAGGTGTGGCTGCCCGGTCAGGGGTCACCGAGACACTTCTGGGATGTCCTGCTGGAGAACTACACCAGAAATCGTCAGTTTCTCTTTGAGAGCTGCATCCCAAACATTGAAGCCATAGAAGCATTCAAGTCACCAAAGGCAAAGGTGGATGGAATGATTTCATTTAGATACTTTCTGAAATATGAAATATGTCTAAATTTTTTATTTATTTTCCTTCTCCTCATCTTTCTTCTCCTCTTATTTTTGCCTGATTGGCACCTTTCTGTCTTTCCAGATGATAGTGTTATATTGCGCTATGAGGAGACATGAGACTCACAGACCATGGCGATGGCGAGTGTGACTAGCAAGACCCGCCCATGTCAAGAAAAGTCTTTCACAATGATAGCATGAGATTTCAGGAGCATTGTTGTCAACATTTATGTTTACTCCGTTTCTTCTCTGACGCTCAGCTCTCATCCTTTCTGCTATCATTTCTT